AGCTGATAAACTTGCCCTGATATAAATTTCAATTTAGATAAAACGCAATGAATACTATAATCGGTAGCAGGATTATTTAGCTCTTGTTATTTGGGTTTATATTTAAACTGTAAAGGAAGTTTCTTTGGAATACTGTACATAGCCGTTCTTAATACGATCTCACAAATTACTTTAGACTCAATAATCCCACATAGACAAAGTAAATGATATATATATGAATCTTACCCTCGTCAGTAATACACAGTGCATATATTTACTTTCCTAGAATAACAAATCCCTTCTCTCTTCCGTGTACAAGGTCCTTCACAGTGTATCACAGGTGAGGAACACTCCCGTCCTCTGTGTTGTCTGAAAACCCACCAACAACACCTGCTAAGTGGCCAGTGATGTCTTTTCCTTCTACACTCTATAGGTCTTACAGTGTTAAAGTGCCAGGAGCTATACCATTAAACCAATTTATTTTACGAGTGACACATCCTAAACCAAATTTAATAACAATCCAGTGGTAATTTTGGATCGGTTAGGTTAGAATGGGTTAGTTAGATAGCGTTAGGTTATTGGGTTAGATTAGGTTAGGTTAGGTTAGGTTTGGTTTGGTTAGGTTAGTTCGTGTAACGTAACGTAACATAAGTTAACGATTATTAGTATTGGGTTTATTTTAACAATATTCTATAACATGCAAATTTCTCTCTTATACTCTTATTACATGTTCGCCCCTTCTCTTTACTAAATACTTACAACACACAATCTTAACACGTGTTCCTCTCGACCCATCCCACCCACAGTGACACAGAGGAGGTTCGAACCCGAATGAACCCAATATATGGACGAATGAATACATAAACTCGAATCAGAATGGGAAAAGCGCGACCTGTGACACCAAGTTCGTGATGTTTTAGAATCTCCGTCAGCCTAAGTTGGTGACTCAGTGAGTGAGGATTGGCATTCATTGAGGCAAATGTAGGCATGAGTGACCAAGAACTACGAAACATCTCCCACAATGGGTGAGTCAGTGACCCAGGATTGGTATTCATAGAGTTTACTGACACATTTGAACATTGTAAGAGATATTAAGATTTGTTTTTCATAAATGGAGTGCAATTAATTTATTTCGCCAACTTACCACAAAAATAATAATAATTACCACGCCTAACAAAGGTACTGTATGTCGAGGTTATTCTTTTAATTTCTCTCTAACTTACTACAGCAAGAATTTATAGTGTATCAACAAGCTATATGGCTGTCAAACCTGATTATTTAACAAACTGACTGATGGAGAGAACTTTTGACCTTCCCGCTCGAGGGGGCTCCTGACCAGCTCTCCGCCATTCTTGTTATCAGGGAAATATTGAATCGTCTCTTCTCTCAAGTTCTAGTAAATAATAATTCTATAATATCAGTGAGTCGAGATCATCACTTCACTCTTAGAAGGAAAAAATTATGGTCCACATTTTCAGAGCGTTTTTATTTTAGATATTTTATATATTAATCCCCGTATTTACAGGCAAACGCACCATAAATAGTCGAGACAGACTGACGGCAGGACACACAAGAACCTCGGTACAGTCCACCCGTAGTACTTTCTTCACTCAAGTATGTAGTACTGGACGTAGTTTTTACTACAAAGGGAGTGATTAAGAAACATTAACCTGTCAGTTCGTATCTATAATTCAAAGTTAGATTGGTTAAACTGATAATTAATTGGCACAGTGCCTGGATGACCTCAGGTTGGGGAGACTCAAAAAAAGCCACTGTTTGGCCCCAAGTCCTCGCCTCACTGCACAGCGGCACGCGCTACTCACCAATGTTTCATTCTGACGTACGAGACAAACCCAAGCATTAAAACTCATACTTTATCGTTAAGATTCTCCCCCGATACAGTTCTGCGGAATAAATTCTGTTGGTCAGGAGGGAATAGGCTTGTTAGAGCTTCTCCCTCATGGCTCTGGACATTAATGATCTGAGAGTGTCATGAGCGTGGCGGCCCCGGTCATGCTTCTCCCATTTTGCTGGGAGTTTAAAGATTCACTCGTCCATATATCATGCCAGGATCACACGGGTTCGGACCTCTTGTGTATCACTGCAGGTTGGGAAAGGTCAAGAGGAACTCGTTTTAAGGCTGGATTTTAATTTTCTTTTCGTGAACTGGGAGATAATATTATGTTAATGAGTAATTTGTTTCACAAATTACTGACAACACAATTATAATCAACCAGTAAAGACCTGGGTGTACTTAACCAGCAAGGTCGGTAAGGTAAGAAGATCATTATTTTAGTATAGCGTGTCTGGTCCTCCTAACTCAACAGCAGGGATTTTTTTTCTCTAGTAGCAAAGATGGATAAACGTCGATCGATGAATTAGGTTCAGAAGACCATATGGAAAAAAAACTTGCTCCTCAGATTCAATATTTTCAACAAGCAGCAAGATATAGCGGATTTTTTTTCGACTTAATTTTACAAGCTTATAAAATGTTTACTTTTAATATGTCTCCAACGGATTCATCTCACATGAAAAAAACAAAAACTAAAATTGTACGCCATTTAAAATTGGCTTTTGTCTAATGTACCGCATATATATATATATATATATATATATATATATATATATATATATATATATATATATATATATATATATATATATATATATATATATATATATATATATATATACTGATAACCACAAGGAAAGAAGAAAACACGAAGTTCCCAAGCGCTTTCGTGTAATTCACATCTTAACGATTCAATACAACAGTTTAACACCCGATATTTTGTACTTTCTAACTACAGTATACTCCATCCCCAATACAGAATGAAAATGTACGAAAAACTCAAATTTGTTGTAAAATAGGATTAAATAATATTTTCTGGAGGTAATACCATGAATCGAGCGGGGATGGCGGAGGGGGGGAGGGGGGCACGATGACGAGTATGAGAACGAGTAATTAGGATAACGAATACGAGGAGGACGACACGACGATAGGGATAAGGACGACTCGATGACGACGAGATGAAGTACAAGATAGCGTTCGCCGTACCACAATATAACGTTCACTACCAAAGGAAAATCACGTCACTCCTACAAAAGAGAGCATGATCGATAATTTTAACAATGTAAATTAAACAATGATTACACTAGAGGCTCCTGCATCATATTTGAAGGTTAATGTAGCAAGAAAAAGGCTTTAATTGGCGCCACAGTACCTCTAACACTTAACAGTGAAAAAAGTAGTAAATGATGATGGAGAGAATGAAGAAGGAACAGTATTGGAAGATTTATGGTCTAATTAGACTTAGGTTTCATTTATACCGATGATCATACATTATGTGGTTATATCAATTTACAGGAACTGAGAAAAGCTTCTATACAATGGGTGACCTGTTTGGCTAACGAGTGTTTTGGGTGATTGGTTGAACAGTAACCAAAATTAAAGGAAAGTAACGGGTTCTAATATCAGGACATATAACCTGTATATAAAACAACTTACTTGAATCTTTAAATAAGGAGTAATATGCCATAACACAAACACAACACAAACTCTTATACACTCTTATACACTTTGTTCCTGAAGTCATAATGTTATAACTACACTTCAACTACTGAGGTCTTTAAGGGCATAGTATTTACACTGGTCCATCAACAACACTCATTTATGAATCTGTCTAAGCTCCAGGACAGTGATGCCTCCCCAGCTTAACACTACAGGCTAAGGTACAGCTTGTTTTAGGATTGAGGAAGGTTAAGTTAGGTAAGCTTAGATTATGTGAGATTAGATTAATTTAGCTTGAAATAGGTTAACTAAGGCTGGGTTACATTAGATTAGGTTAGATAAGATTTAGAAGAGGTTAGATTAGATTTGGTTAAGGTTGGTTTGAATTGCTTATGTTAGATTAAGTTAGACGAGGTTAAGTTGTATTAAGTTAGATTATCTTTGGCGAGATTAGACTTGGTTAGATTAGGTTAGTTTAGAGAAGATTAAATTCGATTGGGTTAAATTAAGTAAGGTCAATTAGTTTCCCAATGCAACTCTTATGCAATATCCTTAGGCTGATATATCAATTCATATGTCTAGTTAATGCATTGGATTAAATTAAATTAGACCACGAAAGCAAATGCATTATCAAAATTCAATTAGCTGACCACAACTAATTGACTATGTAATGATTTGACAACAAAGCTAATGCTTGGTCTAATATTCTAATATATTAGTAATAACCCATGGAGTGGAGTAGGTTGGTGGAGAGGTGGAAATGTGGAGGAGTAAGTGGAGAGATGGAGGAATGAGTGGAGAGGTAGAGGTGTGTGTGTGTGTGTGTGGTGGCAACGGCGTCCCACGAATTCTGCGTTTTTCCTCAAACCCAAAATCTCTTAATATTGCTTTAATCGCTGTGAAATTCATTAGAACAAACAAATCTTTATAATTAATGGGGTTTTCGCATATGACGCATCTAATGAGACCAATTACAACTAGATTTCATGGCTGGTTGAGATTTTGAGAAGAGCGTAATATGCTTAACTACACTTGGTGTAGTGGTGGGGTTTGACCTTGTCAGGAGAATTCAGGATTTTTCATCTAACTCAAATTGTAAACCAGCCATGGAATCTAGTTGTAATTGGTCTCATTAGACGTGTCAGGCAAAAATCCGTTCTTTGCTCATAATGAACTTCAAAGCGCTATATAAATAGTAAGGGAGAAATGGTTTTAATATCTCAAAACAACGTTGAATAGATGTTTTTAATATTTGCCAAGTTTGTCAGAATTATGGCCAAATAGTTTTAAAATCCAGTTTTCTAGAGGATCTAGTTATAAAAGGGCATAAAAGCCATTTGAGGTGTGGAGACTTGATCGATTGTTCTAATCAAACAAACGAGGAGTTTCACCACAGTTTTTTATTGATGAGACCTAGTGTCTTCAAATGGTAGTGTTAAGACAGGTCTGTTAAAACTTGATAACATTAATATTTATTTATTATATTAAATTCATATTTACATTAATTACACAATGAATAAGTCAATGTTGCTTGGAGAGAGGCCAACTCAGTGATGTTTATCACTCAGTACGTTGCTTGTAGAGAAGTCAGGTCAAAGTGCTTATTAAAGGCCGCGACTCTATCTCGAAACAAACTTTTCTATACATACATGTAAGGAATAAAAATAATTAGTTTATTTTAATGGATAAAGTCTGGTTCGAAATATTATAAACCTTCAAAAGTAAATATTATAACTAAATATTTCGAAGTTAAATTATTTGAAATAAGTTACAGGTTTAAAAAAAATTAACTTACGAAAACTCAATATTCATAATTACAGTTGTAGTCTACAAGTACTTAAGGGTCATTTATGCCCCACAAGTAGGTGTCGGATATAGGCAAGTGTTCAGGGATTTTTGTCAGTTCAGGGAATATTATCCATTACGATGTAGCGTTAATAGTTTAGCTAAAAAAAAAAAGACAAAACTCCGTAATTAAGACAACCAAGAATTTTAGTTAATATTTTAAAACATTAAAGATAAATTTAAAGATTTACAACCAAGAACTTTACCTAAACAATTCATAAAACTAAACCTTATGATACATGAACGATTAAAAAAAACTTAAATTTAGATATTAAAAATTAATTTAACTTGAGAACAAATTAAAACTACTAAAATTTACTTTAGAAACTAAACTTAAAAAGTGGGTCACAGTTTTATATCAAAGTTGACTGCAAAAGATAAGTTACCTTAAAGTAAACATAATTACGTGATAAATATTACCATTAGCGTCGAGTTTGTTGAAAGAACATTAGAGGAGTTTATTCTTGTCTGGCCTGAAGTATTTAGTAACGAAGGCTGAGAGAGAGAGAGAAGAGAAGAAAGAGAAAAGAGGAGAGAGAAGAGAGAGAGGAGAGAGGAGAGAGGAGAGAGGAGAGAAAGAGAAAGAGAGAGAGAGAGAGACCTTAATACTGTCATCACTAATTCAACAATCCAATAAGAAGTTCATCGTATAAATTTGAGAGTATCCAAATGACTCTTTACAACTTTGTAATTATAAATAATTAACTATTAAATTCCTATCTACATTAAATTATCTACTGTAGGCTAAAATTAAAACGATCTTGAAAACTGAATGGTCTAGGAAGTTTAATATAAATGTTTAGGAAATTAAATTATTTTAAAATCAAAGTGAAAATTAGTTTACATACAATACTTACATGCAAGAATGCTTCAAGGTCGAACTCAGCTGGTGAAGTGTCCCTCAGCCTCCACTCCACTATCCCCCCCCCCCCTATTCCCCATCCCAGTCTGTGCTTTTCGTTGGTCCTCCTCACCTGAACTATGCCTATTAATATTTCTGTTGTCCCTTCCTCCCTAATATATGACCAAGGGGTCTTATTTTCTTTGTTTTATAAATTTCAAGTATTTACCTTGAAGTTTTGACAATTTTAGAACTTCATTTGTTTTGCGGTGATTGTAACTTAAGTTTAACATACTCCTAAATCACCACATTTCAAAGGCCTTTTTGTCAAGTGATTTAGACTTGAGATTTTTAAATGCCGTTTTACTTTTGCCTATTCTTGTTCCGATTTCTTTCACACATCCAGTTACAGCTAATGCACCAGCAGGATTGGATAAAACTGCAGTTTCATTACCAATTGGTTTTTGACCAGAAATCTAGGTTTTCCCCATGGTATTTGGTCTGAGTTATCCCCCACCATAGAACCTGACCGAACCAACTTTCCTAACCTAACTTCCTAGCCGGGAGCACCGGTCCCCAGACCCCCCCTGCCACATTAAACAAAAAGTACTTGTTGAAGCATCCTGGTGTTTCTTTACGTCTTTTGGTGGACGTGACAGTACCCTCAGACCGAGCGGGTCAGTTGTAAAGAATCAGACGACACGCGGTGACTGCAGATTTACGTAAATCTCATACGTGAATTTAACATCTCTGTTATTATTCATTTGAGACGGAAGCGGGATAAGAAAAAGTTGTCGCAATTGACTGGGTATATCTTCTGGTGAACCCAAAATTGCTCTAACTCAATTGGGAGGGAAACTGCAATAATACCCAGAATTTGTGCTCAGTTTTTAAGTCAAATAAAAGGGATAAAATTTGTCAACTCTCCTGTAGCTTAGCTTTTGTTATTCACATTTTGGGTGTCCTTCCAAGCCACGATTAAACGGAAAATTAATTGTGTTTGCTTGGGGTAAAATTTGTACGGCAGTTCCAATCCAGTGTAATAGAAGGAAATTTTAGGTCAATCAAGTCTGAATACACTGTAATGCGGGTATGACGCCAGCTATGTATCTCTACTATAAACGTTCTGGTGGGATTTCACTGGGGTTTGTGAATAATGATCCTCAATTCCACAGCCACAAAATAAGTCGCATCCCCCGTAAAGGAAGCCCCCCGACCATAACCGTTCATGTTAGGCGATACTCTAGTCACTACAAAGTTACTGTGTCATTGTAAAAGCAAATCATTCGTTCAAACTTCGTCCAGTCAGATACCAAGAAAACTTATTTAAACTAACCTGGCCAAACAGTTCTTAGTTGAAACCAGTGTTCAGCAGGGAGTACCAGTCATTAGGCACTACCAAGTGATGTCAGCAGCCGTCAACCAGCAGCAATCGTCAGGAAGCAATAGCCACTAGCAGCAGTACTCTTTATCAACCGTTAGCCAATAGTCGACAGGAAACAGTCAACAGCAGTCAGCAGTTGAAACAGTAATCAGCAGCAGAAGCAGTAGTCAGCAGCAACAGCGGTAGACAGACTAACAGAAGCTTGGTGTGTCGGTTCCAACTCCAGCTCTGTCACCAGTTGACGGAGACTTAAGAGACGTGTGAATGAAGACTCGACTCCCCTATACTGAACCAGTCACACCAGAGTCCCTGTTTACTACCGAAGATATAAACACTATTACTGAACCACTAGGGAGAAAAAATAACATTAAGTAATAAAATCACTTAATAAAACTTGAAAACTTACTAAATTCCTTAAAATCATCCGAGGGAATTAATTTGATGCTTCGAATATCTGGTGTTGTGGGGGCCAGGTAGTTACGTCATCAGCGGGCGGGGTTAGTAAACTAGGTATTTGGACTCAATTGGTTGTTGTGTTGGTTTGTAAATGTTATTATATATATGGTTTATTATTTAATTCGTGCCGACAAATTTACACACAAGAAGGTATAGACACACACATGCTTAGGCAGGTATGGGCAGGCGTGCTCCTGCGCGGGCAGGTGTGGATACGCGTGGACAAGCGTGGACAGGAGTAGTTACACGTGGCCAGGAGTGGGTAGACGTGGGCAGGTGTTGATAAGCGTGGACAGGAGTGGGCAGGCGTAGTTACACGTGGCCAGGAGTGGGTAGACGTGGGCAGGTGTTGATAAGCGTGGACAGGAGTGGGCAGGCGTAGTTACACGTGGCCAGGTGTAGGCGGGAGTGAGCAAGCATGGGTAGGCGGTGGAGGTGTAGGAGGGCCAGGCTAGTGATGTGTGGCGGAGGAGGGTCAGGCTAGTGATGTGGGGCGGAGGAGGGCCAGGTTAGTGATGTGGGGCGAAGGAAGGCCAGGCTAGTGACATGGGGTCGGAGGAGGGCCAGGCTAGTGACGTGGGGGCGGAGGAGGGCCAGGCTAGTGATGTGGGGGCGGAGGAGGGCCAGGCTAGTGATGTGTGGTGGAGGAGGGCCGGGCCATCACGAGGAGACCATTTTTAAGGTCACCATAGGGAGGTGTGTGGCCATTCTGCACCTCAAATTTCCAGGTGTCATTGTATACATCCACTGTGTTGGGATTGGGTAGGAAGGGGGCGCACTACTGTCCTCGATCCATCTCCACATGTTATCTACCAGTTGGGGTGAGAGCCAAAGCAAGGGAGCCTGAAGGCGATGACTGAACTAGCTCATGAGGTAATCAATCAATCGGCCAGTCAATCAGTAAGAAGAAAACAAACACGAACAAGCATGATGATTTTTCCTGGATTATTTCGAGAAATGTGAAAGTTATCCGTGTAATCGTGTGTCATTACTACTCTACTTGTTTATATTCTGTATGTTAGTGTTACCCAAATATACTTTCTTGATTTATATTCTACTCTTAAGAGCAGAACTCCACGTGTGTCCGAGCTTCAGGAGTGACTGGATCACTGGATTTACGAATAGTTGAAATTCGAGTTAATATTCAATAGGAGCCCAAAGCAGATGCCTGATGGGTAGAGGCAGGTATACCAGGCTTGTTTTTGTCTCGAGTGAAAATGCGTTAACTTAGGGCATTATTACCTGGCTACAGCTGATGCATATTATGAAATACTTTGAAAATATATGAGTAACATTAATAGCACAAATTGCATGTAATTTCGCCTACACATGCTGTCAGCGGCAAAAAGAAGGTATTTGTCTATGCCAGTTATTTGCTCGACACTAAGGTTAATGTGTGTTGGGTCGCTGAGTGAGGAGTTTTAATAAACCAATATTGAAAATTAATAAAATGATCCCGTTCAGGTATAGATCGCTTTGGGCAATTGGCTAGTCTATTGTCTGGGGTTAAGGAAGTCATCCCCACGAGTCAAGTAATTACTGTACGGTGTTTTATAGTGTACTGCGTCATCCTTCCTGTATGCCATTAATAGAATTTAACCCATTGAGAGTTTTTAATGTTTTTTTTTCAATTAAACTGCACGACTGAGCTTGCTTATTTTAGGTTTGTCAGTACCCACTATCCCCAATTCTACCTGACCAGCCCACTGACTGACTAAATAAGAGAATTCTATGAGCAGTCCGCTATGTAGCAGCTTATCATTCGTTATTTGCCGATATAGTTTATGTTTACGTAGGCAGGTTGACAGAGGGGACAGTGTGTTGGGTTATCTTACTATGCATTTTCAGTACCGTGAACCTAAAGGATATTAAATTGTTATGTAACTTAGATTGTGACGAAGTTAATTATCCAAGATTTGTCAGTTATTTTAGCGAGGTGGTAAGCGTTACATAATGAGGTGTATAAACTCGCTTGTGCGGAAAACCTTGTAGATGAGTGAGGCAGGAGGAAGCCAGTAGACGCCAACCCTTTGTTTCCAGATCATTCGTTGTTACCTGACTGACCATCATACAACCCGTTATACAGATCTGATCAGGTTGAAAATGATTGATCTGTAATAAATTTAAGTTAATGCAGTTATTATTAAAAATGCTCTACAAGGAAAGCTCACGCACGAACATTACAAGGTAAAACAGAATGGTACCTTAATTAAAATTCCTATTAAACATCCTAAATATTATACCTAATAATCATAACAAGAATAACTTCTCTGTTTAGTTGAATACAGGTCAGCCACAGAAGTAAAGAAACTAAATACCCAGACAACACAAAGAGAATTGGGGAAGCAGCTCCGACGTACAGCAGTTGGTGTCAGGACTGACTCTCATACGGCTTTTCCCAACCCGACAGGTGGATGGCGGGAATTTAAGGTCCTTTGGTGTTCATCACCGGAACCACAGTAAGTAGTCTCATAGCTGTTTTGCAGAAACTAGCTAATTACAATAAATCAACTAAATAAATGTATTTTACATGCCATATTAATACAAAATAGTCCAAATAAATTACTTAATACATGATATATACAATACACCTGGATTTATATGGAATTTGAAATTGAAATATTTTATTGACACTAAAAAACTATTACATCAAAGGTACAGGATAGTATACTACTCCCACCATCATGGATTTATATGAGCTCCAATAAAATCACCAGTACCTGATTCACTGGAACTCTCCGTAATCCCGAGTCAACTGAACTAAGGATTCATGACACCCGTTAAACACTTTCCTTGTATGACTTGAAGGATATCTGCAGTAATGATTCACATGTTTATACACCTAACTATTACACATATTGTAAGTATATACCTCAACGTCTGATTACATCTCAGTAAATGGCAAAGTTGGAACCTTCAATAAATTGAGTTCCCAATGTTCTGAGCTTCACTAACAAGCAATCAATATAAACATCGCCGATACAGAAATTAAATGAAATAAGTCTATGAACTCCGAGCGGATAATAAGGCGTACATCTATCATTATTCCCCTTAAAGAAAAAAAAATAGTTAAAAGAAATTTTCGCTAAGGTTTCCTTCTCTTTCACACGAGCCAAAATATCTCACCAATTCGTTCCCAGCAGAAGAGATAACAGAGCGTGGATGGTGGAAGAGTTTACTGATTTCAGAATATAACAGACGGAGGATAAATGATATATCGGGTACAAGGTTGAGCGGATTATAACGCTCGTCTCTTAAACTCTGGGAGAGTCACGGTAAATGTGCAGCGAAAAGTGCTGGATGGTGTTTGGCGTGACGTGTTTACCAACCAGTGATTAATAGAGTTGGAGTAACCGAACTCATGGGTGTATACACTCCTGCATACGTACACAAATGTTGACAGTTGAATATATGCACAAGTATGTATACAAGAAAACAAGAATACGCAAAAAAAAAGAAAACTGTGGTTAAGTTAGATACATACTTACACAAATGATAATAAATTTAAGTACAGGCAACACAGTTATATGTAAACATGGACGCAAATAAACACACACACATGTCCAAAGGTCACATATTATGTTAAATATTTTTCATAATTTTTAAATCGATGTTAAGAGTAAAAACTGAGACTCGTGCAGTGTATTCAAAGACCCTGGCCACTCAAACACGCTCACTATATAGATGGAAACTATAACAACAACCTACTTCATATTGATGGAACGGAGGTAAATACTTCCTGGGGGAATGGCTGAAATGACACAGGTATTCGTCCTAATTGTGGTCAGATTAGAACAGAAAAACATGGGAGCTGAAGACGGAGCCAGAGTCAAGAGAAGTGTGAGAGAGAGAGAGAGAGAGAGAGAGAGAGAGAGTGTGTGTGTTTGTAGATGTGGTGGCCAGTAAAACCTGAACCACGACCCAACATATTGAATGAGTGTAAATAAGAGGAAACGATGTAATGGTAATCAATAATCTGGAGTAAGTGTAAGTGTGTGTGTGTAAGTGTGTGTGTGTGTGTGTGTGTGTGTGTTTACGAGCATACTTGTGCAACGCATCGAAAAAATGTTGAGTAAATCACAAGTTTCTCCGTTAACCTAATGTTATCATCTAGCCCACGTGTCACCTCCTCATCGTTTGTCACCTTATACCTAAAAGATCAATTCCTAATACTAAAATAACACTTTTGAGACAACCAATCAGAGTCTCTCTAACACGAGGAGTGGCGTAAGAATCAAGAGCTGGGATTTAATAACTAAATTTAGATATTAAACTTTTTTTTTTGGGGGGAGGGGGGGGATTTATTATTGTTGTAGCGGGTCGACTGTAAGGAAAAAGATGACTATATCATGATAACAAATGTCACATGTAACCAGAAGTCTTAAACTCGATAATATGAGAAAAACAAACACAGGTAGTAGTTTCACTTGACACTTCCGTTCTGTGAAACTCGAAACTTTTTTTGTGCTTTTTTTTATGAGAAACTGTATATTTGAGGGACTGTTATGCATTATGAAATAAAATAAGAACGTAAATTAATGATATCGCAAATGTTTCTTACAGCATCGTTCGATATATTACGATGTTTTTATCTTCCCAAGGGTAAACAACTCAAGACATTGTTAAGTTGGTGACCTGTATCAATTTTGTAAACCTCAGTGTAATGATTATGAAAGACAAACCTCAATGTATCTTGAATATAACTCTCGTCAAAATTACTACTTTAAACACAATAATCTAAAACAAGACTATTTGATGTTGAATGACCTGGAGGTGCCAAGGTGTGGGGCGAAGCTTTGCCTTTCCTGGTGTGTCTTCCTCTCCGTCTACACTACACTACACTACACTACACTACACTATTTATCCAACAATACTCAAGCTGCCACAACCACGAATTAAGTGACTGTGGTGTACAAGATGCTCTGGGCGAGAACAAGACAGGTGACAAAGTGGCTCCAGGTGTGTTTACTATACCATTCTACTGTTGTAACTCTAACTGTGTCTTCTGTTGTTAAATTTATCTTTGTCCCTTGTCTTATTCCCCGGAGTGTCTCATTAATTAGTGTAGTACATTATATGAATCCTTCTTTAGAAAATTAGAAACAGGAATTGTGATAGGACTGAGGTGCTCAACATTAACGATTAATCATCATTTAAGAACATATCTGGCCAAAAGCAAATTAAATACGAACTTTGATCATATGTGAGATGTTTCAAAGACCTTAACGTACCTTGGACATATGTTGAGTTAATGAAGAATGTATATCAGTAAATAATCATATGGTTATTATTGTGTCTTATGTCTGATTGTGTTACAACAGCTTAGGTCTTTATATACAAGAGGCAAGTTTCGCTTAGGCACAAGACAACAAACGTAGATAAATATTATGGAGAGAAAATTTGATGAGGTATTTACGGGGATGACGAAGAAAGATGTTTATAGATAAGCTAAATAAACTCAAAACACAGAGAGAAAACTTTTGCAACAATCATCTAACTCATTATACGTTAACATAAGGTAGAAACAAAACGGCCAATAAGAATGTTTTTGTAACTTAACATAAGGGATAAGCAAGAGTTAATAAGTCATAAGCGTACCATTACACTCTAACATAAAGCGGAACTAACAACTAATAAGAGCACCGTTACAGGTCATCACGACAGGTATTAAGAACACCATTTACCTGTCTCTTAGATTCATCAGGCTCTGGTCCTTCTTGGGAATAACACTCGTTCACATCTTGGAGTGCAACAAGGAAAATTCTCCCTTAGTTCAGTGATAATGACACCCTTGTGAGGTGTATGACATCACGGGAGACAATTGTGCCGTCACGACACACATTACTTATAATGATCAAGGAGAAAGATAAAAACTTTACCTGGAATATGATTTCGTGATGAACTCATTCCACACCTCAACACCGTCTCTCATCTTTTCATTCAAAGGACTCGTCTTATTTTTAATGTTTTCGTCTTTTTTCTAAAATTTCTAGTAGAATATCAATGGTTTTAAAAAAAATTGAATAAATGGTTACTTTAATTAACTTCGTAACGTAAAATTTATCACAATGTGCTAAAATAAAGATTGCATTTAGAATTAACCTTTACAATTTTGAAGAGCCTTTAAGTAACAGGTTATGAGTTAGAACATGTGTCTAACTAAGTAAGACATTATCTACACTCAGTCCATATCATTCTTACAAATAACATTCTTTTTCTAAATATAATTAAATCATCTATATAACTATTGATATAAACTTACATATTTATAAAACTAAATACTCATGTCACGATAAATTAACTTTCTATCAGTCAATACACATCTGCCTTAGATTATACCCATAAACGTGAGGAAAACATTAAAATATCCATATCTAACATAAAGGTTGAAGAAATACAGTGTAATCTCATATACTGTATTTCCTGACACACACACCAACGGCTATATATTGCCAGCTAGTCTCCATCTATAAATTATACAATATAAATAACAATTAATATATATTTATGGTTGCCCCTCGAGTAACGAGGATGGCCGACCCAAGGGCCACCTAGGCGTGAACTTGTTTAAGGTGTAGCCAACACAACAACCACACCCTGATTAGCGAGCTGCATGACCCAGTGTCAATGAATAGTCCGAGAAGACCGGACAACTCACCAACTGCACTGGTTAACCATAACCCGGAATAAGATCCGCAATTACTGTTGGGTAGACAGAGGCAAATGGCGTAAAGAATCTTGCCTATAGTTTCCCCCTGCCCAGGTATCGAACCCAGGTCCGCTCGCTTGTGAGGCGAGCTTGCTGACTATTACACCACAGGGCGCCGCACAAAAATAACAATTACATCCATACATACAAACATACATGCATACATATAGACATACATTACAAATGTATCTAGTACACGGGTTATTCCCATCGTTAGCAAGGGAAGTTTCGCGTAATAAGCTGACATTTTAGTTTCACAAGTCATTTTAAGATATAAAACATGATGAAATGATGCGTATATACAGCAAGAGACGGATACAGACACACACACACACACACACACATCACTACATCCTTGACCACCGAAGGGTCAAGACGTACCTGGCGCGTCTCTCGGAGCAGCCAGGTCAACTGTTAAGTTGGCCCATACCAACTCCCTCCCCTGAACCCTCCTCCCCACCGGAATATCAACAAGTTCTCGCCAGAAGTTACAATTTCACTTAGGAAAGGAATGGAACCAGTGTTAAACAGAGGTGAACAGTGGTGAACAGTGCGTAAGTCAGTGAGAACAACTCAACAGTAACAGTCGTACCCAACTTAACCTTCACACAGTGAGGTCCCAGGTACCCAGTGATAACGGCCCGTAAGACTCAACAACAACCAGCGATGTGTTAATCCGTCTACGATTGGAAGGACTGGGACCACACCTCACTCATATAACACCACCTGTGAGGGAATTACTATACCACGTCAGGTCCCGCATGACACCATCTGTGAGGGAGTTACCACACCACGTCAGGTCCTTCATAACACCATCTGTGAGGGAACTACTACACCACGTGAGGTCCCTCCTAACACCATCTGGGAGGGAGTTACTACACTACGTCAGGTCCTTCATAACACCATCTGTGAGGGAACTACTACACCACGTGAGTTCCTCCTAACACCATCTGGGAGGGAGTTACTACACTACATGTTTGCTGTTCAACACCTACATTAATCTGTATGCTCACTGTATGTTCCTTTACCTTTCTCTAATGAAGGCTTTTGTTAAACCACCAATGTATGTAATAAGTCATTTATGTCCAATGTATATTTTCAGCCTTCGGGCTGCAGAACTTTTTTAATAAACCGTTAATTATTATTATTATTTATTATTACGCACACACACTAAACCAAAGAAATCTTAAACCTTTTTTTTTACTCCTGTACACATTCTGTCTGAAGTAAATTAAACCTGGTCACTACTATTTTAGCTCCCAGTTGACATTATAGTTATTTCTTCTAAACGGATTCCTTTGTGGAAAAAATAAACGTAATTAAAAGTAAACATAGATGTCAGAATTGCTTGTCATCGTCTCAAAAGAGCAAAGGGAGTCACCAGATGGCGTAATCCAATGTAAATTTTTTTTATGTCTCGTGTAAGTTTTAGCTGTGTTAGTTAGCTCAATGAATGTTTCTCCCAGAGTGACTGATAGACTGACTGACTGACTGAGAGAATTTGCCCTACTCTCCGGCACACACACACACACACACACACACTATCTGCTCCTCAATGATGCGGATTCATATCGATGCTTCCTTAGACTCACTCAGTACGATGATTTAAGTTACATAGCTGTGTAAGTTACGGAGACAATAGATGTTCAATATGTAATTTAGGTCAGAGAGACGTGGAGGATATTTTCTAAAGTACTATATTCTTCTATAAATTTGTGGATAATAATTGACAGCATTAAAACATTACCTCCATAGTGTGTATTCTCTATTATGTAAAGGTTAACGGTATACGTTTGGTGATTCGTGGAGCGTCCATTTGTCGTTTTGTCTCTTCTGCATGATGCCACCACTTGCATTATACAAACGTAACACACACACACACACACACGATACTTTGGGCTAAACAAATCCGCAATACAAAATTCAGGGAAAACATGCAAGAATTTCCTGATGATCCCAAATAGATGGAAACATTGATTAAAGATCTGTACATAACCTTATTTCCTCCTGCAGGAAACTTACCATTATTTAATTTTCCGGCGGCGTGAGGGATGGTGGGGAGTGTCCCCTCAGGCAGGCCCGACCTCGCTCTTCTTCCTGAGAAAGTTATCAAAGAATATGTAATAAGTAGGTGATACCACAAGAGCAAACTCATGGACCAACATTCACATTATGTATTACCGTCTTCGACGATACTGAGTAAGACTTTATTGTACAATCAATATAGGATTTGATTCCACATCCAGTGAGATATATACCAAGGAAGAACACAAAGGCTCGTGGAACATAGCATTAAACCCTATTGCCAGTGACACACGAACTCGGCAGCAATCATTTAAACAAGGAACTAGATTCCACCATCCTTGAAAGCGTAGCATTAGACGGTAAGTGTCGTCACGGCAATTACCACGCACGACACGGCTGGGCGAGAGAAAGGCTCTGGCCACCTATTTATTGGCTAACTCGCTATTTTTAGGTTATGAAAATTATAGGCGAGGCGCCGAAAAAAAGGAGGAAAATGAGAGAAAAAGATGTGTTTTCCTGATCACTCGCACCGTCAAGTCACTCGCCAAGTAACAGGGCAAACCACTAATTGCTGAGTTTTTTGTTAGTCAGGAGTAATAGTGGCGCCCCCGAGCTAGTCTGTCTAACCACAGCGCCACACACGGCAATGTACAGCCCATGGTTATAATTTAGGAAGGAGAGATACTCTACGGTGCATGTGGGTGTGTGTGTGTGGCTCCAACCAGGGAAGAGTGAGGAGGAAGCGTTGTTCTTATAATATTGTTACAATGTTATTACTGCGCTTCAGCAATTAAGGTTTTTAAGTGCGGAACAAGGTTAGTAATACACTAGTCCAACAACACACACAAAATACGAGCTAGAACTCTGTATGAAGGAGCGAGGGTGATGGGGCGGTGGTAGTCATGGTGGTGTGCTGGCTGGGAGGGAGTGAGTGAGGCAGGGAAGGGGGAGTGGTAGGTGACGGTGGTAGTGGTAATGTGGTACTCGTGACAGCATGATCTTGATGACAGTAGAGGGGAAGATAGTAGAGGTAATAGTAATCTTAGTGGTAGTAGTTGGTAATTGTGGTAGTAGTGGTAGTTGTGATAGTAGTAGTAGTTAGTGGTATTAGTGGTATTTGAATCTGTAGGGATCATGGTAATACAGATGATAATAGCGGTGACTGTATTTTAGGTATGGTGGCTAATCTGATAGTGGTGACTGTATTCAATACTACACCTACTGTATCCAACACCAAGTACCTACTACACTGTAATGATAAACATACTCCCTAGTGCCAGTGTAAATATACCTGTACTCTATCTTACGTTCTCTATGTAACCATAACTGTATTCTTGTAGTTGGAACAGCACCTAGCTTTTATTTTTCTTATAACCATATATCAGTTTCTGAAGTCCTAAGACATCGAAAAAAAACCCCACAAGAATAAAGTGGATTTCTTCTTTAGACCCACAAACTACCTTTTAAAGTTTTAATTACCAAGAAAATTGTGTAATAAACTAGTATGTTCTTCGGTCCCATAGAACACCGTGTTAAGCGTTTAAAATTTCGAATACATTAATTATATTTTCAACTCAAATAGATTTTTCTTTTCAGCACAATAGACAACCCACAAAATGCTAAACCACCCAATAACAATGCTGGAAAAAAAATTTTTTTTAGTTCAGAACCCACAAACAAGCCACTGACACAATACCACAACATGCTAGAAAACAGAGCGACAATTCTCCACCTAAACTGACCACAAATTAACGTGCTAAATCCCGCCAAAAACACAATAATGTATATACTCATTCTCAGTGATGGCTGTAATGTCGGTAATCGAAGGAGTGAAGAAACTTATTGGTGGGTATAAGAAGATAGTTACCGTGGATGAGGTGCACTGAACACCCTCGCAACCAGCAGTTATCATAGTGAACGTGAGAACACCGTGACAAATGATCCCTTTACCTCCTCACCAGAAGCAGGGAAGACGAGGATGAGGAGAAGACGTCATGGGGGGGTAAGGAGAAGGGGGGAAGAGGAGGAGGAATTATAGTAGTAGCAGGAGGAGGAGGGAGAAGAGGAGTAAAAAAAGTACAAGGGGGAAGAAGAAGAAGAGCGGGGTAAGGAGGAGGAGGGAGAAAACGAGGTGAGGGAGGAAGAAAACGAGGATAAGAAGATGGAAAAGGAGGAGGGGGGGTGGAATGGGAAGTGGAGGAAGAGAAATGGGAGGACGAGAAGTAGGAGGAGAAAGGGAAGAGAGAGGAGGAGAAATGGGAGGAGAAGTTGGAGGAGAAGGAGGAGGAGAGGAGTCTTAGGTAGGTCGCATTAAAAGTAAGAAATTACAAGGAATTCTATTTGAAACAGTAATTGAAAACTTACATATTAAAAGAGGAATAAACTCATTACAAATATAACAAAGAAATACGAAATATTTAAAATCATTAAAAAGAAGAAAAAATAATCGGTGCGGAAAATAGAAAAAAATAACAATTGGATTAAATTTATGAAAAAAAATGGCTAAAAAGACTGAAAATTTAATTAAAACTGATATATAGAAATGTAAGCATTCAAGGCCGATACAAAATAATAAGAGTGGCAAGAAATATTGAGATGGAGAAGAAAGCACAAACCTAACGATTATATACGACTAAAAATATGAAAGTAATAAAGTTAGACACAAAGAAAATACAATAAAAAAAAGAATTACATTAATTAATAAAAAGGCCGTAAGAAGTAAAAAAAAACAGCAACAACTGAAAGCAGAAAATATAGATAATAAAAAATAATGCAACCTGAACAAAATTAGAATATTCATCTCAACGTTTTGGATAAATTACGCATAAGCAAGAATCGTGATGATAGTGTAACAAGGAAGCCTCGTAGTGTAGCGGCACATGCAAATTCGTTGTGTTTTTCCCCCTAACAGATACTAACTGTAATTGAATATACCAACCTTCAGTTTATACTTACGACTTCCTATCTCACCTGAACATTACGTATCGAGGAAGAGAAACACTTGAACACACGCTTGAGTAACCTACCTGTCCGATGCTTTCTTGATTCAGGTTAACCAAAGGAATAATAAATTGTGATCGAGGGAAATGCCAGTTCACGCCAAATGGTATAATTTTGTTTTTAAGTTGTGATCACTGACCTTATTACTGTCTAGGTTGTCATTGTTGCGATAAAAATATGGTTGTATAGAGGTATTTAGGTAAAAAGTAGGTAATACAAACGGTACTGTCCTACTTGAGTCGGGTAATAAATGACAGTAATGAAAGGTTCGGTTAAGTGAATCCTTTGGTTCGTATTCCACTCGACACGGTTTCGAACCTCACCCACAGAACAGAAGTTGATGCTATAGATGTTTGATGGTGTCCTGCTATACTGTCCAACTCCTAATTTACTGTCCAATTATTGTTTACTGTCCACACCCACCTCCCTCCTCCTTTACTGTCCGAGTTTTACCTCCTCCCTATTTTGATATACAGGTCTTGCTTTACTGTCCATATCTTCCTTACTGTCCAAATCTTGTTTTTTCCGTCCATGCTCAAACTTTCTTCTACTCACCAGTCTTAGATAAAATCAGTTTATCGGCGATACTTTGCTCCGGGCGAGGAAAAAAAGCTGTGAGCAGTCATGCATGGAGGACACAAATGTACCTGGCGACTAATCATTGTGGTGGTTCCTGCCTGGTGGGGGTGTTTGGAACTGTCGCAGTTGTGGACGGCCGGCGAATCACAAAATAGCTCGATTGGTGTCCTAGGTTTTGACTGGCCAACGAGACCCCATCTTAAGGTGAAAGAGTGAGGAAGATGGAGGAAGTGTTTCGCGTCGTTAATGTGGTCCCCAGAATGGTCTAAAATGGTCTTTTGTTGATAGTATCATTATAAGCTCCACCACAGATGACACAAACTATCCATAAAACCATATTGACAACTGAGCAAATGGCTGGCAACAAGCCTTTGTACCTTGCAGTCTATATTTACCGCTAAGAACGTTGCACCTCTTTAAGGCACCGAAATGTGACCATAAACGCTGAAAACGCAAAACCACTCTGGCCAGGTGAACGAAACATTGAACCCAGATTTCGAGACTGCTCCACTTCAGACAATTTAGTATAATATACGAATAATATTTTCCCATTTTCTTTTTGCTATCAATTTATATGTTTCTGTAAATAAGTCATTTTAGGCGCGCGATCCTATGTTATTATCAGTTTATATATTTTTGTTCACTGTTCATTATTTTCTTTTATTTTTGTTAGTTCTTATAAACTTATCTATACCGATATTTATTTCTTATTCACACATTTTCTATTCATTTTTCTTTATCTTGATTACATTTTCTTTTATTTAATATTTTTGGTTAGAGAGAGAATGGGAATTTTAGCCAGATCTCAAATCTCATGGAATCGGAATTCTAATCAGGTAATCGGCACACCAGGACCGAGATAAGGCTACACTGAATGGAAGTGTCTGCATGGTTCAATGGTTTTCCTCCCTGTAAAAAAAAAACAAAAAAAGATCCCTGAATGTTTCTGTAGTTGTGTAAAGAATGTTAATTGCAATAGAAGATTTACAAACCCCGAAGAGACAGGATTTTTCAGGTACACACACACACACACACACACACACACACACACACACAATATCGAAAGGAAATGGAAATAATTTGGCATTTGGTTTATTTTATTTATTACAAGTGATTTTTTTTACCCTTTTCAAAATGATTGTTATTCGCTCTTTACTATTACATGTAAGTACATAAAGACTTAAATAAACCCATCAATACACACAGACAGAGGAGTATATATACATATATATATGTACTAATCTGACTCATAACTTCAATAAAAACTAAATTAAAAATATTATTTATTTTTTTCTGAGATAATATTCAGTGCTGGCGATTTTGCTGATAGGACAAATAATCAAGAGAATAATCACGCTTGTCTGAGCCGGAAATATGAGGATTTTCGTAATTACACACTCGGCCCGCGATTCCCCACATTCCTCCAGCTCCCAGCATGTATTGTGAACCTCTGGTTGACTCTTAGGTACAAGACGAAGTTCCTAAAACATATCACTAGCTTAGGTGAAAAAC